CCCCCCCCCCCCTCCAACCCATTATGTTTATCTATTTTGTACTGCAGGGTATTATTATTGTTTGGTTATATCTGAATCTGGAAGCAGTATAGCAGCAGGATTGTTTAATGTTAAATAATTTCAAACTTTTCTTTTTCATTTATAAATTTTCTGATCCTGATGTATTTTGGTTTCTTTTCAGGAGGCGTACAGCATGAGGTTGCAAAAATATAGGGATGCAAATCAAAGTTACATTTGTGTCAAAGTTTAGTTTTCTCATATAAATAACTTAAATTTTTTACTCCCAATATGTTTGCAACCTGAAGGTGTAAATCTTTGATATTTCAAACTTAGATTATTTGTTCTATCAGAATTCATAGTTTAAAATATATCTAAGGGCTAAGACATTGGGTTGCAAAGATATTGGGATTATAAAAACCAGAGTTTGTGTCAAAAACTCAATTTAATTTTTCTTGTTTTCATGATAATTCTTGTTCTTCAGTAAATAAAACTACAGAACATGAAAAGTTTGACTTTTAAAACTAATTCAAATTAAACATTTTCCTACCAGGAAAACTGAGTTTAAAAAGTTCCACAAGAATGTATCCTCCAATTATTGAGTTGGGGCCTGTCAACCAAACCTTATACAGGTAAAATATTAATTTTCCTACCAGGAAAACTGAGTTTAAAAAGTTCCACAGGAAAGTATCCTCCAATTATTGAGCTGTGGCCGGTCAACCAAACCTTCTACAGGTCAAATATTAATCAAGGACAACAATCAATTTAATTATTCAAAACTACAGACGTAATTTCAAGTTACCCTTTATTGAGATATCTTTGTCTTTTGATCTAAAAAATGATGATATTTCCAATTGCAGTTTCTTTAATAGACTAAAAGACAAAATGACAATTAACAGATAGACGATATCTCCCTATTGATAATGTTGAGAAAGATTTAATGGTTTTTAAATCATACATGTCACTGTTACAGTGAGATTTCACTTTAAATTTTGTCGACAGTCCCTTTAAAGATTATTAAGATTATATTGTTTTCTATAAAGTTAAAGTTAAGAGATATAGAATCTTTATCCCCCAACCCCTAGCAGCGTCTGTTGTCTCAAGATTATCTTGTTCCTCAGCTACTGCTACAACAGATCTGTGAAGAGCTGTTTGTAAAGAGCAGCATCTCCTGTGTCAAGGTTATCTCAGCTGACTCTAAAACAGATCTGACAAGAGCTGTCTGTAAAGAGCAGTGTCTCCTATCTCAAGGTTATCTCAGTTGCTTCTACAACATATTTGAGAAGAGCTGTCTGTAAAGAGCAGTGTAAACAGATAGTTAAATAATCAGAAAGAACAGATAGTTTTATAATCAGAAAGAACCGATTGTTTAAAACACAGAAATAAAAGATACGCTGATATTTCGAACCCTGATTGGATCCGGCGCAAATGAACTCGGCAAACAGGAGTGATTTGTAAACCTTTGATATTTTAAAATGTTATTATTTAACATTAGATTAAAAAAACATAAGGATGAGAAAGAAATTGAGTTTTTGCCACAACCTCAAATTTACTAATTCCTTTATGTTTGCAACATAATGGTTTTACACCTATGATATTTCAAACTTCATAATTGATATAACAGAATAACAGTTTGAAATATCAATTGTTCATGTCAGTGGTTGCAAAGTTTAGGGATTTAACAAATCCAAGCTTGTGGCAAAACAACTCGGTTGCTTTTGAGTATGAATTAAGTAATCAGTTCCTTTATCTCTTTAAATTACTGTACAGTGGCAGAATTTAAAGAATTTGAGCGGCGGTTTAAATTTAAGCCACGGTTTAAATATCGTTGGTTCCACTTAAAATTGTATCAAATGTTTCAAGATTTAAGCCGGCGCTGAATTTAAACCGGGTTTTGGCGGATTTAAACCACGGCTCAAATTCTTTAAATTCCATCTCAGGTTGGGTAAGGGCCAATTTAAAGCATTTAAAAACTTATTCCAAGCAAAGTTTAGTTTTATTTTAAATCTAACCTTTCTAAGTTTTGTTTTTTGACAGGTTTAAAACACGCAAACTGGTTTAAATAAAGTTGGAAGAGATTAAATCAGATTTAACGGTCTCAGGACTTTTATAATTTTATTAAAATGTTTAGACTAAAATATCAAAGTCAAAGTTAGAAAGAAATCATTTGTTAAAAAGTAAACTCAAATATATTTTGCAGTTTTTTTCTTGATAGTGACGATAAATTATTCTCTTTATAATAAAAAGCCTGTTTTTCTGCTTAAAATCGATAATAAATTTTTAATTATGGATTACCTATGGAAGAAATCCGCCGATATATGCAGCAGAGATTAAAGGAAAATGACTGAATTCTAGAAAAAAGTTAGCAATATTTGCTTAGATTGAATATAAATTTCTAAGGATACAGTTGTGAAACAGTATGCAGCTCTTTCAGTCAGAAGTAACTTGAAGTTATCTTTACAATACTTTTAAAACAACTGTTTATGGTGATCTTGAGTTTTTGTTTATATACATAATATTTACAATTGATTCATAGAAAAATGTTTAACAGTCCCTTTAATTATTATTGAAATAATGTCAGAATTGTATTGGAATAGAATGATAATACACTTTTTATATTCCTTTAATCCTTCTTCACCATTGTTCTTGTACAATAGGTTCTATATCTTTTCTACTTTATAGGTGTATATTGATAAATATGATTGATTATAGACAGATATTATTAATCCACCTTTTTCATTATGCATTAAGTCTAGTATTTAGGCTTTCAAGGAAGAGGGGGGGTAATTTATAGTTTTATATTCCCATTTAAATAATTTCAAGTAATTTTCAGTAAAATTTACAATAAAATTTACAATCAAATTCGCAATACAATTTACAAAACAATTTGCAATAAAATTTGCAAAACAATTTATAATACAATTTACAATACAATTAACAATACAATTTACAATTTAATTTACAATACAAATTGCAATACAATTTGCAATACAATTTGCAATACAATTTACAATTTGCAATACAATTTGCAATACATTTTGCAATACAATTTGCAATAAAATTTGCAATACAATTTACAATTTGCAATACACTTTGCAATACAATTTGCAATACAATTTGCAACACATTTGCAATACAGTCTCTCTCTCTGTCTTGTAATTCTACACAGAGAGAGCCTATCCTACGCCTACTCGACTACTCGTAACAACTAGCGTATAGAAGACATCTAGTGTCCAATCTGTTATTTTAACTAATCTATGAACCAGAGTAACAGAGTTGAAAATACCAGTAACATTAGAAATATTGTGATCGTTGTTTTTTGCTGATTGAATTTTAGCTCAAACTCAGATTTTCTAGCCCCTATATCTGTACTATCTTAGTCCTTAGATATCTCGAATTATTAATTCTGTACGACCAAATAATCTAAGTCATAGGATATTAATTCTGTACGACCAAATAATCTAAGTCATAGGAATTAGTTTTGAGTTTGTGACAAAGACTAAATTATTTTATCTTTGAAAATTAATTCCTTTTAATTTTGGATATTCTGTGGTGGTCGTACCCAGCCAGAATGACTGTGAATTGAGGGATCAAGCACTTATCCATCATGTAAAATAGTGTCCATAGTCGATATCGAGATTAGGCATTGCAGAATTGTAGATTACTTGTATTTCACAAAAAAAAGGTTATGACCTCCAACCATTTTCAAAAATATATCAGTTAAAACAGTTGCAAAAATGCCCTAGTTGTAATTAATAGAAAAAATAAGATTATTCCACTGATTTCTGCATACCACAGTATTATATTAGAAAGAAAACTAAAACAGTTAAAAAATCAAGAAATATTTGTTTTTATTTATCTATGATTGATACTGAATAAATTAGTTGTGTTGTTTTATATTTAATATACATGATATGGTTTCTTATACATGATTAATTCTAGATTAAAATATCAGAAATACAGGGCTGTGTTTTACAAAAACAAAATATAATTCTTACAAAAAAAATAATAAAAATGACGTTGCATATATTTATGAAACTATTGTGTACTTTGTTACTCATGATCTCTTCTGGGTAAATTATAAATTGTCACCAAATTGTCATCACCAAATTGTCAGTACAAAATTGTCATTACCAAATTGTCATTACCAAATTTTCATTACCAAATTTTCATTGCCAAATTGTCATTACAAAATTTTCATTGCCAAATTTTCATTACCAAATTTTCATTACCAAATTGTTATTACCAAATTGTCATTACCAAATTTTCATTACCAAATTGTCATTACCAAATTTTCATTACCAAATTGTCATTACCAAATTGTCATTACCAAATTGTCATCACTAAAGTGTCATTACCAAATTGTTATTACCAAATTGTCAGTACAAAATTGTCATTACCAAATTGTCAGTACCAAATTGTCATTACCAAATTGTCATTACCAAATTGTCAGTACTAAATTGTCATTACCAAATTGTTATTACCAAATTGTCAGTACCAAATTGTCCTTACCAAATTTTCATTACTAAATTGTCATTACCAAATTGTCAGTACAAAATTGTCATTACCAAATTGTCAGTACCAAATTGTCATTACCAAATTGTCATTACTAAATTGTCATTACCAAATTAACATTACCAAATTGACATTACCAAAAATCCGCCTATCCAAAATAAAAGTGTTATAAATAGTTATTATAAATATTGGATAGTTATGTGTAAATGATAATTAAGGGGGAGGGGGGAAACATTTCATGTGTTTTCTACAATATAAGTTGTTATGAAAATGCTAACAAGGCCACATCAAAACATGCATATCTATAGAAGGGGGGGGGGGCTTTCAATGGTTGAAGAAAGAATAATTGAATTCATGAGAAATATGTATGAGCAGCAAAAATGCTGGTCAGAAATAGAATTAAAGTTGAAAAAAAGCCGATAACGTTTTTACAAAGAAGAGTTTAAAGCATGACGATTCACCTTTTGGGTTTGTCAAGGTCGGAGTTTCAAATTTCTATTGGTTCTAATTAAAGAGATGGATTTTTACATGGACATGAAGTAATTAGTTTTTATATTAGCGGGATTCAATGAAAAATTTGCTTATTAAATAAAACAAAGGAATTGAGTCTTTACCACAAACTCACATTTCCTAATTCCTATATCTTTGCAACTTAATGGTTTGATGGTGCAAACTTAGACTATTTGATCCAACAGAATTCATAGTTTAAAATATCTAACGAATATGACATTCGCTTACAAAGATATAGGGATTAGAAAATCAAAGTTAGTAGCAAACACTTAATTCCTCTGTAAGAAAAATAAATCATTAATTGAATTTTATTTTCTAAATAATGCCTTTCTATTCTTAACGTAAGTATCTAAAAAATAATATTTTTAATTTTGCCAGCAGTAAATCTTTTTGTCCCGAATTTAGAAAAAAAAACAGCTTACTTAATTATATATAATTGTCCTCCATATTCTTCCCTACAATTCCAGTGGCAAAAACTTAAAATGTATATTTTATTTTCCCTAGAGAAAAATTCTTTGCAAAGAAAAAACAAAATGCAAAATGTAAACAAACCTGCAAAAACAGGTTTTATCTGAAATCAGGGGGGNAAAATTCAAAATTAGAATTTATCTTAAAAATGTTGTCACGCAGCACTCTTAAGTCTTAGTTCAAATAATAGGTTTGGTCATTTTATGTCAAACCAAACAATTTAATTACTTTATTTCTTAGATGTGAATTCCACCAATTTTTATTGTTTTCTCTGCAAAAACCAGCGATTACTCACCTCAATTGAAAATTGAATTTTCAGATAGAACAAGAACATTTTCATCTTTTTTGTTTCGCTTAGTTGTAAACCGGGCAACGCAACTCTTCTAATTAAGAATTTCTTGAAATGCGTCTAATTTCCTGTAAAGTTTCAATATTTTAAGATAACCCTGTATCTATCTATAAATTTGGTTTGTCTGTCTGTTTGTCTGTTTGGGTGTCTGTTTGTCTTTATCCAATAAACGTCAAAACGGGTGAACCGATCGGGCCCAAATTTTTTGTGGGACATTACGTGACCACAGGGATGGTTTATGAATGATAAAATTTTTTTAAAAATGTGTTTTAAAGGTTTTTATATTTGTAAAAAAATTCAAATTTTTGAAAATCCGCAATTTTTTTTTTAAAAATCCGCAAAATTATTTTCTTCTTTGTTTTAAAATGTAAACAAAAAGAATATGTTCACAATTTAAATAGAAGATGGGCGCGAAGCGCCCTAAAAGCCTAGTATGTATATAATTATATATATATTTAGTAAAACCGTACTTCATCAAGTCCCCTGAGAAGAAGAGTGTAGACCAAGGGACCCCTGTGGACCTTGTCTGTCTAGTAGGAGGAGACCCACCCCCTGATATACGGTGGACTGGACCTAAAGGAACAAAAAATATTGTACATATTAATGTTTCCTAAAACTATTATTCTCAAATTGTAAGTGTTTGCGAAAAATGAAAGGGGGTATAGGCTGATATCGAATTGAATCGCTCGCTACTAATTTTTTAACAGGATGAGACTTCAGTTCAATCGTCTCTGAAGTCTCATCCTTTGTGGATTAAAAACAGTAAAACAAATCATATGTTTTGAAAAGAGGGGTTGGTAAAAAATGTGCTTATAATATTTTTGTGATTTGTCAAGGAGTTCTAAGCTACAAAGGATCATTACTTCAGATAACACAGGTAACTAAAGGAATTGAGTCTTTGCCACAAAATCTGATTTTCTGATCCCAATATCTTTGCAACCCAATGTCGTAGACCCTTGATATTTCAAACTGTGAATAATGTTAGACCAAATAATCTAAGTCTGAAATATCAAAGGTGTACACCATTAGGTTGCAAAGATATAGAGAATAGAAAATTTGAGCTTGTGGCAAAAACTCAATTCCTTTGTTATAAAGATTCAGGCCCTTGGGAACCCCTTTAAAGCAAATCTGAGTTACTTCAAAAAAGGAAACTGCAATCCTTTTCTCTTATCCTTTCTTTGGATTAGCTTGCAGTGATATTACTAGATGATTTAAAAACCTGAAATAGCTTAAAAATAATGATGTTAAGGCGAGCAAGATGGATGAGGGTGAATATACTTGCTTTGCGGAGAATATTGCTGGAACCCTGACAGGCACTGCTTATATACAAGTTACAAGTAAGTTGTTGTTACATAAACCTGAAGTTTGTTTTTAATTTATTTTTAAATCTTGTACTAACATAAAGTTCTTTTTATTTTAGCTTGAAATCTTGCATTTTACAATTTGTTTAACCCTAAACAGTTTAAACACCAAAACTATTAAAGTCAGCGGTCTAATTGTTTTTATTTGAGGTGGCCATGAACAGTTTGGCTATAAACATGCATTTCAACCCTATAACTATACTCTAAGACCCCAATGACCAGCCCTTTTAGGGTTAAGGAACTATTGAACGCAAGCAAAATAATTTGCTTTATTTCTCGGTTTTAAAAGGGACGAGGTCCCAAAGTCACTCCTTGAAGTCCGCATGATAAGAACTGTTATCTTCTTATGCTGAGATCAAATATGTTATAACTAATATTAAGGAAATTAATTTATAATTTTGTTGAATTATTGAACTCCTTTCCAGAATTTCATGACAACTTTTTCAGTAAATATGAATTTTTTCTTTTAACCATTTAAGTATTCAAAAAATGGTATTATTAAAAGTGTCCAATGATACCAAATCTGCTAATATTGATAATCTAAAACTAATTAAAATTATTCTGATGAAAAATTTATATTTTCATGGTTTTTTATAATTAGTCTGAGAGAGCTTTAACATTTGTCAAATGAATTTAATTTAGCTGATTAATGATTTTATTGTTGAATCAAATCAAAGCAGAAACGTTTTATCACATCTCTAATTTATCATTACTTTAATTTTAGAATTAAGTATCTAAATTTTCCGTAATAAAAAATTACAAAAACACTAAATGAAATTACAAAAAGTTAAAAAAAAGTACAAAAAATTACAAAAAAATTACAAAAATGACAAAAAGTTACAACAAATTACAAAAAATTACATAAAGTTAGAAAAAAATTACAAAAATTTACAAAAAATTACAAAAAAATACAAAAAATTATAAAAAGTTACAAAAATTTACAAAAAATTTAAAAATTTACAAAAAATTACAAAAAAATACAAAAATTACAAAAAGTTACAAAAACTTACAGAAAATTAGAAAAGTTACAAAAAATACAAAAAATTACAAAAAGTTACAAAAAAATACTTCTACAATCCTTTTTATGTTCTATTTAAACCATACGCATTGCTTGTAAGATTGAGACAGATTATTATTTATTAATTATCAATGAAAACAAACTTGTTGACATGTTTCGAAACTCATTAATAACATATAAACATGATTATTGAAAAATATTAGTCCTGTGCAGCACACAACATTAAAGAGACTGTAATTTCAAGTGGGCGTCAATTTAACCCTGTTTAACCCTGACGTCTGGTTCCATGCCTGGTTCCCGGGGGGGGGGGTGGCTTAAGTTTTCTTATTGTGATACAAATAATTAGTTTTTAATTTTAAAAAAACATGGATATCTCAAACCCTCTTAATCTGAAACGTTAAAAAGATAAGATAAAGTAAATCGGAAACGTCCAGATCTATGGTTTAAGGTTCACTGAAATTATTTCTATATAGTGTTTCTAATATTCTTTAAAAATATATGTTTTTAGATCCACCGAAGATAACAGTGGGGCCAAATGATCAGAAAGTTGTCGAGGTAAATATTGTAAAAATTGTAGAACATAATATAACTTGGAGCCAAGGCGATGCTTCTTAAAGTGATTAATTCTTAATTTTAAAAATTTAGAAAACATCAAAAGTTGCACATTGAATTTTGAAAATGCGCAATAATTTTAAAGTTTCCACCCTTTAAGTTTTAGTTTTCCAAATTCATTACAAAATAAAATATTTTTTTTGTCGTAAAAAATTCCAATTTAAACTGTATTTAAAGTTAATACTACACAACACTTTAGTTAAAAGCCCTGCCACCTTCTATTCAACCTGAAAACAAATTATCTTTTATAATTCTATTCAAATACTAATTCAGTTTGGAGTACACATACACTTGCAAGTATTTAAATTTGCATACATTTACTGTCCTATCATTAAACAACACTCCAGGAAAAATTAGGTCATTATTCCAGGAGGAGGAAAACTTTGCAGAATTATTGTCGCCTTCAACTTTCCATTTTAGAGTTTTCCAGGG